AAAAGACTGATTAGAACAAAAGTTTCAATAGTATATTTTTGTGATACCATTTATAATCCCACATGGCTTGACACAGTGTAGTATATTGCACCTATAAATCAGTTGCAGCAAATTATTTAATGATGCATTAACTGTGGAATTTCACATATATTACAGTTCTTTAGCCAATGTTGAATGCTTTTTCAATAGCTTAATCCATCCCAGAAGTACCGAAGCAGGCATATTCATCCATCATCAGAGTGCACATAGTCTTCTCTTTGCTCTTTTTATTTTATTAAAGCCCTCGATCTACAGGCATGGCATTAAATAATTCCCCGGAGCTTTTTCTGCACAATATTCCCACCACCATCCTCACCCTTCTATCACCAAAAAAAAAAAAAAAAAAATCTTTTAATTCTCTATTAAGACTCTTTCTATCCTTCGGTACAGCTTAAGCCTGGCATTGACTTGGGCCACATTGCTGAGAACTCATAGATGATCCCACAGCTTTAGATGTGTGAAGGTATTATAAGAAATTATCTTTACATTACAGAAATTAAGGATTCAATTTGAGGAGAAAGCTTGAAAATACAAGCAGTGAGTCTACCTAGAAGAGGACACAGAGAGAAGAAAAAGATGTATGATTATAGAAGAAGATATTTTTAATTTTTTTAACTTCCAAGGTATTCCTTACTGGAGATTCACCTCAGGTCCTTGAGGCATCCATAGCTGGACCAGAAAAGGCTTTTGCAGTTGCTTTTTAAGAATACCAGGCAATGAAGTTGTATGATATTCATAGATAGGAACCCAACAGTGTTACTCTCCAGCACTACATTTGGTGCCTGCGTTAAGAGGGTGAGCACTCTGGACCTTCACGAAGTTCTAACTGTGCACCTCAACAAGCTCCTCTATTTGGGGAAAATCCTTACAACCTTTAGCTGTTAGGATCTTGCATGATCACCTTTCCAACCATCTCCCATCCTCTCCAGCTGCTGTGTGAAACACTTTCAAATCCTGGAGAGCAACGTAGAGGCTGATGATGGATCTCCCTTATGCCACTTGTCATTGCTAGCAGAGAAACGTGGAGCAAGTTGTGGCTTATTCCTCCTGGCAGCTGTCCCTCTGTCTGCTCACTCATGGAGATAAATGCTGCTGTGGTAGAGCTGCCTCATGGCTATTCCTCCTGGCAGTTGTCCCTCTGTCTGCTCACTCACGGAGATAAATGCTGCTGTGGTAGAGCTGCCTTAAGGCAACTCTTCTGTACAATATGCCATGCTAACATTGCTTCCTTGTACAACGTTGGTTTTAAAAGCTCCTCCCCCTCAGTTGGTACCTCTTTCACTGTAATACTCATTCTCATTTTGCTATGTGCTTTTCCTTCTACCTGTTCTTTCTGTCCTCTCTCCGGTAGCAATTTATGCAGATCCTGCCAGTTCAATCTTCTTTATGCAGATGAACAACGGCACAAGGACAAAGAATTGGATTATGTTGCTTTCTTTTTCTTCTTTAGAAATGAAGCACACATCTCTGAGGCATTGTTCCTGGGTCTGGATATCCTTCTTAGATCAGACCTTAAGATACCGAGTTTGATAAATGGAAGCATTTTGGAAAGTCAGTGTGTTCTCTAGGAGAGGAAATTGGGCAAGACCTCTGGAGGCAATGAGGAAATCAAAAGCCTGTAATTCAACAGCTTACCTGGAGGAAAGGTGACCCCAGCTGCCTTTCCTAACAAGTGTGAGAACTCTGGAGGCAATGAGGAAACCAAAAGCCTGTATTTCAACAGCTTACCTGGAGGAAAGGTGACCCCAGCTGCCTTTCCTAACAAGTGCTGCAGAAAGAAGGTTGGGGGACAAATCCAGATTTCTTAAGACACAAAGCCTCTCCTTTCAGTGGAGTCAGGAAGATGTCTCCAGCCAGTGTACCATCCCAGCACGCAACACAGCTGCAGACCTCTTCTGTTACCTGTACAGCTCACACACATGCATAAGACATAGGAAGTAATTTCACTGAATTTCACTGAATTTTTAGAGTTGGAAGGGACCATAGAGATCATCTAGTCCAACTCCCCTGCTGAAGCAGGATTGCCTAGAGCTAGAGCATGTTACTCAGGAGCATCCAGGCAGGTCTTGAAGATCTCCAGAGAAGGGGACTCCACACCCTCCCTGGGCAGCCTCTTCCAGGGCTCTGTCACCCTCACTGTGAAGAAGTTTTTTCTCATATTTGAGTGGAACCTCTTCTGTTCCAACTTGTGCCCGTTGCCCCTCGTCCTCTCACTGGCAACCACTGAAAAGAGTCTGGCTCCCTCCTCCTTCAACCCTCCCTTGAGATACTTGTAGGCGTTGATAAGGTCTCCCCTCAGCTGTAGTACTGCAGCAACAACGTAGGAAAGGTCAGTGGAAGACCTCATAGGAAGGGAAAGTAACTCCCACTGGCACTCTCATGCCCCATATTCACAAATACTAAGATGTGTGCGTGCAAAGAGTCTGTTCACCCTTCAGGGCTTTTATCCCATGGTCATCATTTTCATGATGGCACGGAGAACAAGGGACACCAGCCATCCACCCCACCTTAACATCTTAGGACAACAACCACATGTTGGTTTTTGACACAGGCTGGCAGTGATCCCATTAATCCATCTCATCTTTCAGTTCATATAAACATTCAAGAAAATTTCCAAAGACAAAATGTTTCTTAAGGAAATAGTTGCCCTCCTATAACCACGTCTCCTAGATGCACATATTTCAGTGAGACTTGAAGACTAAGCAGGTTTCAACATTGCTTTTGGAGCCCCTCAAATCATCTTGATACTCAAGCACTTTCCTGAAGTTCAACAGGAAATAATTCAAAGTTCATAGTTTAGAATTAGCTTGTTAAAACCATTAGTTGCAGTTGTTTTATGCAAATAACTCTTCCTGGCCCACACAGGATTATGTTTTGCACCTTTCCACATTCTCCTATCTTACTTAATGAAGTCATTTCTAACCTGACAATTCATGTATTCATCTCAGCTAAGCATATTTTGCAATGTGTCACTGAAATGGTAATCCATCTCCTCCTTTCCTTATCACTAGGTATGGAACATTTAATAATCGACACTTTATACACTCAGCATTAAATCATTTTGGCAGAACTCTTCATTTATTGGTCTCGAGACAATCCTTTTTTTTTTTCCCCTCCCCGTGCAAAGAGTGGAGGAGTAGGGAGAAAGCAGAAGCCAATCTCTACAGCTGAGAGTAATGGGATTTTCCAGTGAGAGGGTGAAAGAAAGAAGAGAACTTGTTCTGTTCTTGGGTGGACACTCAAAAAACATGTAGCAGCAAAATCCTGGTCCAACCTCAGTAAGTACAAGGCACTATCTGCATCTAGTTCAGTGCCACAACTTACTTCCTCTAGCCAAGGGTCAGCAAATTCAGGGCTGACTCTGACCTTTTCCTTACACGTATCAATGAACTAAGCCTTTGTGCACAGGCAAAGAGACAAAGAGCAGAGCTATGTAGAAAAGAGAGGAAAACAAGAGCTGAAATTAGAGGCTTGGTACAGTTTTCTGAACCCCCTACTCACTGTCCCTAGCATGCCAGGCCAGGGAGCTCCAGCCCATGTTCCTCCACCACTACACGTGCTCTGTTCACTGATGATGTCAAGGTGCCCTTGGTCCTGGGGGCATCACCTCCTCCCTGTGCTGGCAGAAGCACCAGCTCATGTCTCATTAGCTGCACAAGGACAGCTGCTTTCTCTCCAGTTACAGTTGTGCAGGTTGTGTATCTATTTCTATTCCTGTCTCACACCTCTTTGTCCCTCTTTGATCTCTCTGGACCGACAAGTAAATTTCTTTCACCACCCACAAAGTTAGGCCTTCCCCATCCTCCCTTTCTTTCACAAGCCCGTGGTCTCCTTGCACATCTCTCCTTGTGTTCACCCTAAAAGGTAAATGTCTGCTAGGTGTGAGTGACATCACATCCTGCACCCAAGATATCTCCTCTCTCCTGTCTGGGACACAGGCGCCCAAACCATGCAGTTCAAGTGCATCACCACCTTAGAATCATAGAACAGTTAGAGTTGGAAGGGACCTTAAAAATCATCTAGTTTTGACCCTGCTGCCATGGGCAGGGACACCTCCCACTAGATCAGGTTCTCAAACCCACATCCAACCTGGCCTTGAACACCTCCAGGGATGAGGAAGCCACAACTTCTCTGGGCAACCTGTTCCAGTGTCTCACCACCCTCACAGGAAAGGTTTTCTTCCTAAGATCTGATCTAAATCTCCCCTCTTTCAGTTTAAAACCACTAGCCTTCATTCTATTGCTACACTCCCTGATAAAGAGTCCCTCCCCATCTCTCCTGTAGGTACTGCAAAGGTGTTCTAAGGTCTCCCCGGAGCCTTCTCTTCTCCAAGCTGAACACCCCCAACTCTCTCAAGCCTGTCCTCATAGGAAAGAAGCTCCAACCCTCTGATTATCTTTGTGGCCTTCCTCTGGACCTGTTCCAACAGGTCCAAGTCCTTCTTCTGTTGCAGTCCTCAGAAGTGGACGCAGTACTCCAGGTGGGGTCTGACCTGAGTGAAGTAGAGGGGCAGAATCACCTCTCTTGGCCTGCTGGCTACACTTCTCTTGATGCAGCCCAGGATGGGGTTGGCTTTCTGGGCTGTGAGTGCACATTGCTGGCTCATGTTGAGCTTCTCATCCACCAACACCCCCAAGTCTTTCTCCTCAGGACTGCTCTCAATCCATTCTCTGCCCTGCCTGTCTTTGTGCTTGGGGTTGCCCCAACCCACATGCAGGACCTTGGTTGGCACGGGCCCACTTCTCAAGACTGTCCTGGCATCCCTTCCCTCCAGTGGGTCAACACACCACACAGCTTGGTGTCTCTGGCAAACTTGCTGAGGGTGCTCTCAATCCCACTGTCCATGTCTCCAACAAAGATGTTAAACAGCACTGGTCCCAGTACCAATCCAAGGAATGCCACTCATCACTGGTTGCCACTTGGACATCAAGTCATTGACTGCAACTCTTTGAGTGTGGCCATCCAGACAGTTCCTTATGCACTGAGCGGTCCATCGGTCAAATCCATCCCTCCAATTTAGAGACAAGGATGTCGTGCAGGATGGTGTCAAATGCTTTGCACGAGTCCAGGTCGATGACGTCAGTTGCTCTTCCCTTATGCACCAATGCTGTAACCCTGTTGTAGAAGGCCATCCAATTTGTCAGGCATGATTAGCCCTTAGTGAAGCCAAGTTGGCTGGCACCAATCCTCCCCTGATTTTCCAACTTCCCCTCTAAATGGGAAGTTCAGGGGACACCTTTGAAAACATCACTGTGTCTAAAAGCAGAAGGATCTATTTGTTGGGCTTAGTCTGGGCCTGGTCTTAGTACCCGGCTGCCTCTGGGAGTCAGTTGTGGATATTCCCCAGCTGATCATTCCTTTTTAATGTCCTCTGTTTGCTGAAAGGCACTGAAATTATTATTGGAAACTTACCATTTCAGTAATCTCTCTCCCTAATAAAATTGGCTTTATAGTTTTGCAAACAGGAAGATTTATTTTCCCCTCAAGATAAATATTGATAAACCAGCTTCAGTCAATATTTACTATTTGGTTTTGGGAAGAAGAAAAAAGTCTAGCCCAAAGTTTAATAGAATTTGATATCTGTTTTTTATCTACACTACAAACATAATACCATACTGCTGCCTTGGCAAACGAAGGAAAAATGTTTTTTATTCATATCACTGAAACACTACAGGGCACTTTGTAATAGGAGAAGGATGCGAGCCCGGAGCTCGTGCACCAGATATAGCCACATTTTTTTTATGGACAGCAGCTTTATGCTGGGTTTGATTTTTGGGGGGAAATACTGAGGTGTGGGTTAGATGTGACCTGTCACTTCTGTTCTAAAAGGCTGCACCTCTGTAACAGAGGCTCTCCTCTCATTCCTGCAGGCAGAGATGTTCCACAAGCACTCTAAATACAACAGTGCTCTTTTATGGAGCTCTTAACTGTGCTGTGTGAAAACATGTGCATTAATTTGACCTGGTATAAATTTGTAATTCTTGACACCTAGAAAATGAACATATTACCTTATTAAAAGCTGCTCACTCACAAATGTGCAGACCAGCTGTTTCCTCCCTCCATTATCGAACTGTAGCAAGCACTTTCTAGAGGAAAATTAAAAGTAATGATTACAATCAATTAAAAAAAAATTCAATTTAAATTCTTCTGCTACACAGGGAGCTACAGCATATTTTCAAGAATGTTGTGTTCTATTTTTTTTTTTTAAAGTTCCTATGTGTTGTGTTGGATCTCCTATAGATAAAATACCCTCCTTCAAAATGCCCAGGTCTGTTTACTTTGGAGAATGTGCATACACCTAGAGCAGAAAAAGAAAACCTGGCTGCAGAAACATGAGACTTTTCTCATCCTAAACCAACCTGAAATTGTGGTGAAACATAAACACAGGCATTTCCTCGGACAGCTATGTGGTTGATGACTAAACTCTCAGAGATGGCTGAAATTCAGGCATCCCCTAGACCTATATCTTAGGGCTCTGACCAAATTATAAGAGAAGTTGGAAAATTCAAGCCAAAATTCAATTCAGTATCACGCAATTCCACTCTTTCGTCAGCTCTGGTGATTTTTCAGTGTTCAACACGTAATACACTAACTTTCCCTGCCCATAAAATGCCTTTAGATACTGCTGAATTACACCTGAAGAACAATTTCAGTGCGGGCACGGGATGACAATCGCTCCCTTGCAGGGTTATAGATGCAGGCAGGCAGCAGGCTCCACACACCACACCCCCACACTCCTATTTTTTTTATTATTTTCTTTGTAAAAGTATTGCTTTTTAATGGTAACTTCTCCTTTGTATTTTAGCAACTTTGATTGTAGAAAGCAGAAACCTCGTCTTGGTGAGTACGCGTTCCACGAGAGCGCTTCACCTGGCACAACAAACGACCAGCATTGGGGCCAACGTGCCAATTTTGATTTACAGCCACCCCCAACGCTTGCCAGATGACAGCTCTGGGGAAGGCAGCCAGAACAACCTTGGTTTTCCCTTCTGATTTAGACACATCCTTCTCTCCCCTTTGCAAACTCTCCTTTTTTTTCGCATCCACGTCGGTGTCAAAAGGCGTTCGCTGAGATTTGTGCTGCAGGTACTCACTTGGTTCCTGTCTCCCAGTGATTGCTGCCCGGTCCAACAGGCTGACATCTTTTGCTGGGTGCTGTTCTCCCACTCGTTTGATGCTTAGGTGACCTTAGCTTCATTGGTATTCAGTCGGTGTCAGAGACGTGCTCGCTTCAGCTGCTTGGGCCTCGGTGAGCAGGTGGAGAAATGACCGGTTGAAAATGAGTTGTTAAGGCCACTACAGCAAAAAAAGATTGATGCAATTAATTTTTCATTACGTACAGCGCCCGTGGATTGTAATCAGCTCGGATTGTTCTTCCTCTGAGGCACAAATAAAATGCAAATGGTTTTTGAATGAAAGAAAATGTTCTTTTGTGAGGTACCGTGCTATTCAGAGCAGCAAAATGGCTTGAAATAAATGGGGATTACGAGGGATGTTTTATGAATCTACCTAGGAGAACTTAATATAAGTTTCATGCAGGGGAAACCACAGGTGAGTTTCCCATCAGATGAACATATTAATGCTCAAGCAACTGGAAACAAGAAAGAGCCAAAGGCTTTAAGCCTTATTTAATAGTACTAATACCTAGCTCTTCTCATGAGGAGATGTCAATGTGCTTTACTGAGAAGGTACTTATCTCACCGATGTGCTTAAATAAAGTATCTTTTCCAAGCCCCCCTCTCCTCTCTACAGCAACGAGCAGAAGGCACGTCTACTGCGTGCTGCCAAGTGCTTTACCCCTCGGTGACACGTTGGATGACAGCAGCCACCAGAGCAGTTCTGAACAAGCCTCTTCACACTGCAAAGCATTCAGCTGGGCAGAGCCAAGTGCTTTACCCCTTGGTGACACGTTGGATGACAGCAGCCACCAGAGCAGTTCTGAACAAGCCTCTTCACACTGTAAAGCATTCAGCTGGGCAGAAGAGTTGTGCTGTAAAGTTCTCCCAGAAGCTCGGCCACAGAGTCAGCAAACAAATGCTCTCCACACTGGGAACATGGTACCTACAGGTCGTTTTATCGGAGAATCGGAGCTCCTGCCTTACAGAGTAGACACCAGCTTGGGAGTAGGGCAACCATATCAGCTACTACCTGGTCCCACAGCTCAGGATAAATGATATATTTCTCACCTGGACCAGCAGACCCAGGACTCAGCTCACCAACAGCCTTCCTAGTCAAGGAAAGCGGAGTTTAACTTGGTTTGTGGCAGCAGCTCTCGATGCCCGTGTGTCTCCTGGAGTTTGTACGGTGCTAGTCGTCAGATGGGGATTTAGACAACACGGTGGTAGACCTGGAAACGAAACAAAAATTAGAGCAGTTCTGAACAAGCCTCTTCACACTGTAAAGCATTCAGCTGGGCAGAAGAGTTGTGCTGTAAAGTTCTCCCAGAAGCTCGGCCACAGAGTCAGCAAACAAATGCTCTCCACACTGGGAACATGGTACCTACAGGTCGTTTTATCGGAGAATCGGAGCTCCTGCCTTACAGAGTAGACACCAGCTTGGGAGTAGGGCAACCATATCAGCTACTACCTGGTCCCACAGCTCAGGATAAATGATATATTTCTCACCTGGACCAGCAGACCCAGGACTCAGCTCACCAACAGCCTTCCTAGTCAAGGAAAGCGGAGTTTAACTTGGTTTGTGGCAGCAGCTCTCGATGCCCGTGTGTCTCCTGGAGTTTGTACGGTGCTAGTCGGATGGGGATTTAGACAACAGGGTGGTAGACCTGGAAACGAAACAAAAATTAATTCTGTGTTTCCTACAAAACAGAGAGAGAGGGAGATCTGGGTGGGAAGAAATGGATACTTTCCCTGCAGTTAACTGCAAGTGCATGCAAGCTGAAGAGAAAAGAAGTGAGAGGGAACGCAAAGAGGTTTTATTTGCAAATAAATGCACAACAAATGCCACCAAAGGAATTGCCACCAGCACCAAGGAAAGGGTTTTGCTAAACGTGAACTGTATTGCATGCAGTGGGTTCTTCCTTTTGGGTATTGCTGTAATACATGCAGATGTTATGCCTTTTAAGGCAGCGTAAACTACTGTATAAAGGGCCAAAGGGACCATATGCCTACGGCAGTCAGTTGGGAGTGCTGCATCACCAACTCCCTGGGAAGGGAAATCCTAACAAACTCTGCCACCCCCTCTTCAGAAATATGGAGCGACTGGCTCCCCGAAGTCCTACACAAGCACATGTGTGCTTAAAAGCCTTCATCAAATCCTGGTGATACCAATGAGCCATGCAACTTCATTCACGGTTTACGGACTGTTTTCTTCTCTCCCCAGTTCCAGAAGGACAGGGAACTGCTGGAGAGGGGACAGCAGAGGCTACAGAGATGATGAGGGGCCTGGAGCATCTCTCTTACGAGGAGAGGCTGAGGGACTTGGGTCTTTTTAGTCTGGAGAAGAGAGGGCTGAGGGGGGATCTGATCAGTGCTTAGAAATCCTTAAAGGGAGGGTGTCAAGAGGATGGGGCCGGTCTTTTTTCAGTGGTGCCCAGGGACAGGACAAGAGGAAATGGGCACACACTTGAATAGAAGAAGTTCCACCTAAACATGAGGAGGAACTTCCTCACTTTGATGGCGGCAGAGCCCTGGAAGAGGCTGCCCAGAGAGGTGGTGGAGTCTCCTTCTCTGGAGACATTCCAAACCCACCTGGACATGTTCCTGTGCAACCTGTGCAATCACAGAATCATAGAATCATCTAGGCTGGAAGGGACCTTTAAGATCATATAGTCCAACCATCAACCTAACTCTGATAAAAAAAAACAAACGAAAACGATACAAAAAACCCCAAACCCCACATCACTAAACTACGCCTCTAAGTGCTATGTCTATCCGTCTTTTGAACACCTCCAGGGATGGTGCCTCAACCCCTTCCCTGGGCAGCCCATTCCAAGGCTTAATAACCCTTTCCGCGTCACAATTTTTCCTAATCTCCAATCTGAACCTCCCCTGGTGCAACTTGAGGCCATTTCCTCTTGTCCCATCACCTGTGACTTGGGAGAAGAGACCGACCCCCCCTGGCTACACCCTCCTTTCAGGGAGTTGGAGAGAGCCAGAAGGTCTCCCCTCAGCCTCCTCTTCTCCAGGCTGAACATCCCCAGCTCCCTCAGCTGCTCCTCACAAGACTTGTTCTCCAGACCCCTCACCAGCTCCGTTGCCCTTCTCTCCCCGGTGGGAGTTAGGCTGGCCAAAGCCTCAGGATTTTAGTGTTGATGTTGGAAAGATCAGACAACCAGTGCTCTCTATTACTCACCCACAATGTGCTGTCAGTTAAAACCCACTTCTTGACCACATCTACAAAGCCAGCACGGATGCTACTGCTCTGCTGATTTAGGATTTACATTGTGCACCATGAAGACCAAGTTGTTTGAGTTTGGAATCTGTTTTGCCAAAGGTGAATACCTTTTTCCATACTTCAGAGAAAGTCTTACTGTTCCAATCAAAACCACAGCATTATAATAAAAAGTTATATCCTAAATATGCACAGAGGGCCAAGGACCTAATTAAATCTATGAATAGGTTCCAATGCTTTGCTTTCCTTGTTTGCTTTCTCAAGGTCTGACAAAAATCCATGGATATCAGCTGATACGAGTGGGCATGTTTTCATGACAGCTTCATGCCTTTTAACAGAATGATTTGCCTTTGAAAGATCTCACTCAACAGATTAGATTTATCAGGGCTCAGCGTTAGCTGTACACAGCTCTTGCTAAAGTTTAAACATTGTCTAGGAACTGAATTATATCAAGGACATTTTAGCACGATGAAGCCCTCTCCTGGTTTGGAACCTTTGCAAGTTGGCACAACATAACATATAGATCAAAATGTCTTGACCAAAAATGTATACGTCTAAGCACAATATTTTCAAATTGCATTTGGCTTACACAGCACACATTTTCTATCAGACACATTATATTCAACTACTCAAAACTCTTTCATGTCCTGCAAAAAATGTGTATGGCAAAGTCAGTTCACTGCTAAAAATGATCAATCTATTGTGCAAATTAGAAATGGAAAGGAGATGGACAGTCAGAATCTGGATTGCTTTGTGTTTTAAACCAAAACTGCACACAAACTTTTTCATGACGCCCTTACAGGATACATGGCATTTTTCTAAACAAGAAAAAATGAACGCTCAGGAGAGAATAGAGGCAGAATGAACCAAATTACATCCTTAATGGTTGGGAAATGGGAAAGAAAGACTGTCAGTCAGCCTAGGTCAAGTCGGGGCTGTGAAGTGTAACACAGTCCCACCTCTGCCCCACAAAACCATCAGTCTATCAGCAAGGCCACTGGCCTTTTCTTCATGGCATGATTTTTTATGCGTTGGTTCCTTTTTTTTTTTAGCACATCTCTATCCTCATCTGAATGCTTTTCCTTCCCTTCAGTCTCTCTTCTGTCCTGATTTTAATTTATGCTCTCACTTTGCCCTTCAAAACCTCATTTTATTGTGTTTCTGGCTGGAGATACTTAGAATAGTGGGTGGTTGTTTTTTTTTTTCTTGATCTACGTTTTCATAATGGGCTTCTAAAAAATTAAGCTCTTTTGTCACGTTCTCTGTTTGCTTGATATCAACCTAGTGCAAACATGCCAACATACATAAGAGCCCCATATCTGAAGAGGTAGAGTTAAAGGCTAGAAACCTTTGGGACAGGGAGAATATTTTGAGTGGAATTTTTCCGCAGATTGGAAAACTCCTGTGTCACTGCAATATTTGAGTCCATAAAATATCAAGCAAATATCTCATATTTATGTGGTTTTGATTTTAAAGGAAATGGCATGTTATGCTGAAGTAAATAAAGATAATCAGCCTGGGCCTGACTCAGTAGTATTTGCAGTTTATATGAAGATTTCCTGACATCTGAAATGACGCTAAGTGGTATGAGTGTTTGCTTAGTTTTAAGCAAACAAGCAAGTTTTAAGCTTAGTTTTAAGCAAACAAGTTTTAAGCAAAGTTTCTGCTAAATGCAGAATAAGCACCTGTGACATTTCTTGCTCTCTGCAATGCAAAAACCTCTACTTGATTTTGGACTGGTTCAGAGAGTGGCCAACAGCAGATGCCTATGTACAAGGACAAGACCAAAGCGAGACTAAATTGGTATTTCCCTGGTACACTGAAGCTTACAGTAAAGCAAGATGTAAGGCCCTGTGATTGGGATGCAGTGATGGGGATTAGCACTCTCCAGTGATTTTTCGATTTTTTCCTGAATTTATTCAGTCACTTTTTTAACCTTTGTAAGCAGCCACCCCATCCTATGCTGAAAGGTTCCGCAGATTAACCGCACGTTGTATGAGAAAGCCTTTCCTTACGTTTGCTTTGAACCTGCTCATCCATTACATTGCTGCTCTTACAAAACCCATTCCGTACCACTGATCAGGCTGTAGACCTTGTCCTGCATACTAGACAAAAAAAAAAAAAACCCACCCTGGCTTCTACACAATACTAAACTACTGCTACATACCTGGACTCTCGCTGTGAGCACGTATTAGTGGCATTTCTGATGGGGGTTGGCCAATTTGTTCTCAGATGATGATAAGACAACAGATGTTCCTGAAACACGTGGAGTACGTTTAAGTGCCTTGCCCCGATCTGAGAGTGTCTGCAGCATAAAGCACAAAGAGAAATGATGCTGTATGTTTGACAGCCAATTGCTGGCACACTTAAAAGAGAATGTCTACATTCATATTTCTGCTTTATTGCTTTGCATGTATTTGTGGCCCTCCAAAGCAATAAAAGGAAAATTAAGCCCTCAGTGTCACAACCCATAAACTAATTTTCCTAACAAAGAAAAGAAAAGGAGGGGTTCAATAGGAGCAGAATTTCTCTTCCCATTTCTAGGAAAAGGCCAAGTGGTATTGCCCTGACCTTTCTTCAGCCATTTGTTCCTCTCTGTTTCTCCCTCGGATGTGTTTCTGTGTCACTTAGCAGTCGCATAAATAATGTCAAGAGGCTTCAAGTCATGGAAAGCTGCAGCGAGCCGTGAGCCATTCCAGCTTTAATTAGGTACACAAACTAAACCCAGCAGTAGTATGTCTGGGGTACCATGAATGTCACAATCACAAGTCCCTTCTTGGTAAGGGCAAAACGTTGTTAGAAGGCATAAGGAAAGCTACTATTTATTATAGAAGCAGGTTTTGCTTTCACTGGTTCTGTTTCATCTGGCCAAAGAGCCTGGAAGATGATCTATCAGAATGCAACTTAAGTAATCAAAAGGCAATGATGCAAGTGAGGACAATTCAAGTGCTTTCATGAAACACCCAGTTCTTGAAAGTCTGCTTGCAGCAAAACAGCTTCACAAGTGTGGTTAATGCCAACACAAAACTAACGCTCCCCAGTAGAAGCAGCTGAAAAACAATTTCCCCAACATTCCTATAAGCGCTTTCATAATTATTATTTCATAGCAAATTCATAAGCTGCAATGTTTTAGAGCTGGTCAAAGACACAGGGTTTGTAGCTTCTGTGAAAGTTGTAGGCCCTTTTTTTTTTTAACTTGAAAACCACTACAGTTATTTTAGTGTTCGTTACATCTCTTTGAACATCCTGACAAGCTCAAGTGAAATGAATTGAAAGCCCTTGACTCACCATAGATTACAGAATCACAGAACCTTAATGGTTGGAAAGGACCTCTGAGATCACAGAGTCCAACCACACACACACAAACCACCCCCACAATCTTGGGCACTAGAGCATGCCCTGAAGTGCCACCTCTACACGTTTCTCCAGGTATGGTGACTCCACCACCTCCCTGGGCAGGACCTTCCAGGGCCTGACCACCCTCTCAGCAAAGTCCTTCTTCCTCACATCTCATCTAAACCTCCCCTGCCCCAACTTCCGACCATTCCCTCTGCTCCTGGCATTGTTCCCTTGGGAGAAGAGGCCAACCCCCACCTCTCTCCAACCAACCTCCTTTCAGGGAGCTGTAGAGGGCAATGAGGTCTCCCCTCAGCCTCCTCTTCTCCAAACTCAACATGCCCAGTTCCCTCAGCCTCTCCTCGTAGGACTTGTTCTCTAGATGAACTAACATTTCTTAACAGTCACATTTATCTCGTGCAGTTTGACCGCTCATTCATTCCTACGGTTGAGAAAGACAGGTGAAGTTAAACTATTTTCCCCTCATTTTCCTGGTCAGTGTCTTTCAGTTGCCTGTAAGGGATTTGTTTGTGTACTACCTGAGTTTCTCTACAAGCTTTCTCTACACACTACTTCTCTCTCTTCTGCTCCTCTGGCACTTGTAATGAGTATTTAGTGATGCAGGAGGGCTTGGTGCATGAGGGAGGGAGGGAGACTCTACAACGTTCACCATGGTGTGAGCCAGCCCACAGGAGGGCAGGTTATAAAATATATTTTTCAAAGGGGAAATTGAATCCCCTTATTACCATGGGACACAGCACATGTTTAGCAATACGCCAAACAGCAGAGCTGCACAAATCAGTATGTTTCAGTGAAAAAAGTTTCACATGGGGAAAAAAAATACTTCTGTTGAAACTGTTTGGAGGACAGAAGGCAAAGCTGGTTTTGACCAGTAACAAAAGCACTACATGAATTGATGATGCAGTATTCAGAAACACCAAAAATGTCTATGCTTAGAACCATCTCTTTAATATATCAGCACTTAAGCACTGATTGTTTTCTTCCTTCACGGAAAGTTCCAAGCTAATTTTGAAATTTTCTCTCAGCTCACTGAACAGATACAAAACATACTAACCCAGCTGCGCCGTCTGTACGAAAGGATCAACATAATTCACTGTTCAGTGGGTTCTTGAAAGTCTGCTTGCAGCAAAACAGCTTCACAAGTGTGGTTAATGCCAACACAAAACTAACGCTCCCCAGTAGAAGCAGCTGAAAAACAATTTCCCCAACATTCCTATAAGCGCTTTCATAATTATTATTTCATAGCAAATTCATAAGCTGCAATGTTTTAGAGCTGGTCAAAGACACAGGGTTTGTAGCTTCTGTGAAAGTTGTAGGCCCTTTTTTTTTTTAACTTGAAAACCACTACAGTTATTTTAGTGTTCGTTACATCTCTTTGAACATCCTGACAAGCTCAAGTGAAATGAATTGAAAGCCCTTGACTCACCATAGATTACAGAATCACAGAACCTTAATGGTTGGAAAGGACCTCTGAGATCACAGAGTCCAACCACACACACACAAACCACCCCCACAATCTTGGGCACTAGAGCATGCCCTGAAGTGCCACCTCTACACGTTTCTCCAGGTATGGTGACTCCACCACCTCCCTGGGCAGGACCTTCCAGGGCCTGACCACCCTCTCAGCAAAGTCATTCTTCCTCACATCTCATCTAAACCTCCCCTGCCCCAACTTCCGACCATTCCCTCTGCTCCTGGCATTGTTCCCTTGGGAGAAGAGGCCAACCCCCACCTCTCTCCAACCAACCTCCTTTCAGGGAGCTGTAGAGGGCAATGAGGTCTCCCCTCAGCCTCCTCTTCTCCAAACTCAACATGCCCAGTTCCCTCAGCCTCTCCTCGTAGGACTTGTTCTCTAGATGAACTAACATTTCTTAACAGTCACATTTATCTCGTGCAGTTTGACCGCTCATTCATTCCTACGGTTGAGAAAGACAGGTGAAGTTAAACTATTTTCCCCTCATTTTCCTGGTCAGTGTCTTTCAGTCGCCTGTAAGGGATTTGTTTGTGTACTACCTGAGTTTCTCTACAAGCTTTCTCTACACACTACTTCTCTCTCTTCTGCTCCTCTGGCACTTGTAATGAGTATTTAGTGATGCAGGAGGGCTTGGTGCATGAGGGAGGGAGGGAGACTCTACAACGTTCACCATGGTGTGAGCCAGCCCACAGGAGGGCAGGTTATAAAATATATTTTTCAAAGGGGAAATTGAATCCCCTTATTACCATGGGACACAGCACATGTTTAGCAATACGCCAAACAGCAGAGCTGCACAAATCAGTATGTTTCAGTGAAAAAAGTTTCACATGGGGAAAAAAAATACTTCTGTTGAAACTGTTTGGAGGACAGAAGGCAAAGCTGGTTTTGACCAGTAACAAAAGCACTACATGAATTGATGATGCAGTATTCAGAAACACCAAAAATGTCTATGCTTAGAACCATCTCTTTAATATATCAGCACTTAAGCACTGATTGTTTTCTTCCTTCACGGAAAGTTCCAAGCTAATTTTGAAATTTTCTCTCAGCTCACTGAACAGATACAAAACATACTAACCCAGCTGCGCCGTCTGTACGAAAGGATCAACATAATTCACTGTTCAGTGCAATCTCAAAGGCTGACCACATCTTACCCAATTCTGGCAAATTTCCTGCAACTTGCCTATTTTGTATTAAAACAGATTCTGCTTCAGCAAGGTAATTCAAACATATACAACCGAGCATATGCCAAACATTAAGCATTTACCTAATTCCAATACTTTGAATCTAACTAAAATACCTGGTCTTTAACGGGACTTTTTAGTCTTTACTATTAGTTCATCTCAAGACCATCTCAAAACCAAGCTTCCATCCTAAACTCAGCGAGACAACACTGTGTGGGATAAAGCACACGCTGAGAGAATTTGCAGGTTTTAGCTGCTTTTCTGGCTTTGGCTGTGGTCCAAACAGCAGAGCTGCACAAATCAGTTGAAACTGTTTGGAGGACGGAAGGCAAAGCTGGTTTTGACCAGTAACAAAAGCACTACATGAATTGACGATGCAGTATTTGGAAACACCAAAAATGTCTATGCTTAGAACCAACCATTTATAAAGTATCAGCACTTAAGCACCGATTGTTTTCTTCCTTCATGGAAAGTTCCAAGCTAATTTTGAAATTTTCTCTGAGCTCACTCACTGAACAGATACAAAACATACTAACCCAGCTGCGCTGTCTGTATGAAAGGATCAACATAATTCACTGTTCAGTGCAATCTCAAAGGCTGACCATATCTTACCCAATTCTGGCAAATTTCCTGCAACTTGCCTATTTTGTATTAAAGCAGATTCTGCTTCAGCAAGGTAATTCAAACATATACAACCGAGCATATGCCAAACATTGAGCATGTACCTAATTCCAATACTTTGAATCTAAATAAAATTCCTGGTCTTTAACGGGACTTTTTAGTCTTTACTATTAGTTCATCTCAAGACCATCTCAAAACCAAGCTTCCATCCTAAACTCAGCGAGACAACACTGTGTGGGATAAAGCACACGCTGAGAGAATTTGCAGGTTTTAGCTGCTTTTCTGGCTTTGGCTGTGGCAAAACTGCACTCTAGTGGAACTGAAGCAGAAAGACATGCTCTTGGGCTGACTTGGTATCTCCTCAGCCCCTTTGCTCTCCGACAGCTCTGCAGAGATGTTTTGGATTCCTGACAGATTTTACAGGCCTGGAGGTCTGCTAGAAAATACTCCGGTGTGCCATCATCCCAAATGCCACTCCTGATGTATGATTAAGAGAGAGTCCTGCACACAGTTTTTACCCTACAGCTACTTGTATCACTGGATTAGAGAGCAAAAGCATTCACAAGCTGTGCTGTGGAGTTCCTGGATCTCCACGGGGTGCCACACCATTAAATCACCAGAACATCTGGGGTTGTCAAGTATGTGGACATGTTATTTTAGTGACCACTAGTATCTTATAATTTAAAATGTTCACAGATTTTACGCGCCTTAATAGGACCTGAGTTCTTTATACCATCTGTCCCAAGAGCATCTGATCTTTGAGCTGGTTAAATCAACACTGATGCACAAAAGTCTAGTAGTAGAGCCAACTATTGCCAGGAACTGAGTAAAAGTGAGGCTAAGATGAGTCCCTGTTATCTGAACATCACAAAATGTGCTTTGGATAATGTCTAAATCTCACCTGACAGGAAAACAGACTAGAACTAAAAGGCTTTTGGTTGCTACCTAAAGCCACCAGCCACCAGCAGGAATCCATTCACGTCAAGTTAACTTCACTTGTGTGAACTGTATGTTCTGAACCAAAGCCAAAGGTGAACTGAAAGCCTTAGAGGACCAATGTAATCACACAAGTAACACGGGATCTAGTGCAGAGTTATTAAAAAACAAAGTGGGGAGCAAATTTGGGGGCTGAATGTTACTTACATTAAGGTGTATTTTGCTGTGCAGGTACAGATACTGCTTTGAGTTCTGTTGCCATCTTCTGTTGCAGAGGTCAGTATGGCCATGCTGTCACCAAGGAGGTCTGGACTCCAGATTCCTGTCCCACAGAGTGTCTCTCAATAGGTGAGGACACCAAAGAAGCTTCTGTCCTCAGCTTAAGGAGAAGCTTGTCCTGACAGATTTTACAGGCCTGGAGGTCACCTAGAAAAATACTCCAGTGTGCCATCATCCCAAATGCCACTCCTGATGTATGATTAAGAGAGAGTCCTGCACACAGTTTTTACCCTACAGCTACTTGTATCACTGGATTAGAGAGCAAAAGCATTCACAAGCTGTGCTGTGGAGTTCCTGGATCTCCACGGGGTGCCACACCATTAAATCACCAGAACATCTGGGGTTGTCAAGTATGTGGACATGTTATTTTAGTGACCACTAGTATCTTATAATTTAAAATGTTCACAGATTTTACGCGCCTTAATAGGACCTGAGTTCTTTATACCATCTGTCCCAAGAGCATCTGATCTTTGAGCTGGTTAAATCAACACTGATGCACAAAAGTCTAGTAGTAGAGCCAACTATTGCCAGGAACTGAGTAAAAGTGAGGCTAAGATGAGTCCCTGTTATCTGAACATCACAAAATGTGCTTTGGATAATGTCTAAATCTCACCTGACAGGAAAACAGACTAGAACTAAAAGGCTTTTGGTTGCTACCTAAAGCCACCAGCCACCAGCAGGAATCCATTCACGTCAAGTTAACTTCACTTGTGTGAACTGTATGTTCTGAACCAAAGCCAAAGGTGAACTGAAAACCTTAGAGGACCAATGTAATCACACAAATAACACGGGATCTAGTGCAGAGTTATTAAAAAAACAAAGCGGGGAGCAAATTTGGGGGCTGAATGTTACTTACATTAAGATGTATTTTGCTGTGCAGGTACAGCTACTGCTTTAAGTTCTGTTGCCCATCTTCTGTTGCAGAGGTCAGTATGGCCATGCTGTCACCAAGGAGGTCTGGACTCCACATTGCTGTCCTGCAGAGTGTTTTACAATAGGTGAGGACACCAAAGAAGCTTCTGTCCTCAGCTTAAGGAGAAGCTTGTGAATACTTCTACACAATGGAAATTAACTTTCTTTTCCAAATTAATGTAAAATTTCAGTAGAACTTGGCAAATATTCTTGGCCTGAAAAGTAGAAGTGAAGAAACACTTTTTTTTTTTTTTTGCGTTTTCAAAAATGAAATACTTAAAGACTTTGTGAAGTGACTTTTTGACTACCCATTACCTTGACTTCATTTTTGAAGACTGAGAAAGTAGTCAGGGCAAAATTGGTTAATATATAAAATATATAAACCAGAAATGTATTGCTTTACCACTGTTTCTGTGGAAGTATTCAGTAGAATTTGGCAAATATTCTTGGCCTGAAAAATAGAAACACTATGTTTTTTTCAAAAATGAAATACTTAAAGACTTTGTGAAGTGACTTTTTGACTACCCATTACCTTGACTTCATTTTTGAAGACTGAGAAAGTAGTCAGGGCAAAATTGGTTAATATATAAAATATATAAACCAGAAATTTATTGCTTTACCACTGTTTCTGTGGAAGTATTAATTCCAAAAGTTTGTGGCCAATGCCATGTTTTTGCTGCTTGAAGGCCCACACCTTTTAGATGAAAGGTGCATCAGGCAGGTGATGGTACATCTCAGATACACCCTGGGTGCATGCAGAGCTGCACAAAGCACAAGGGGACTGAGAATTTGGTTTGATGATCCAGGATTCAGACTAGATCACACGCCAATAACAAAGAAACATTCACAGCCTGTGTATCAAGACTACATTTTCTGCTTAACATTTTAACCTGCACACTGAATCGCAGATTTTCTCATAGAGGCAGCACTTCCAGATGCTCGTTTTAAAAATACAAAGATAGTTTAAAAGCTGTTCACAACTGATTTAGGGAAAAAAAACCACACACACAAGGGACTGTATTTCTGTGATAGCTGCACCTTCATCTTGACCGTCAGCAATGAGATTCTGGCACAGGCTTTCTTTGCAAAACATCAAAACACCTCTCTTTACAGGGGAATTGCTAGCTATCTCTTTTTGAAATAGCATCAAGGGAATGTGTTCTTCTAACTTCAATTTCCAGAATGAGAAGCTAAGGTTGAGTTCTTCTGCTTGCACTAAAGAACCAAAGTGACTTAACATCTTCTGTTTCAGAGAAGACTCTCCTTTTGGGCTTAATAGCCCATGGTCTCGATCGTGATCTCTTCTTTTTTAAAAAAAAAAACAAAACAAAATAACCAAACCCCAAAAAACCTGCTAACCCCCCCAACAGATCCCTTTTTCTCCTATTACCATAAAGCTGTAGATCATCAGTCAGGCGCACGAATAAAACATTCTGAAGCAATTTTTCCACGTGCCTTGTCCTGTTTCTGTCCCTGTTCAAGCTGTTGGCTTCAGGCAATAATTTGTTAATGCAGGTGTGTCATGTTTTCTTGTGACTGTACAGGCTGGAAAAGTGACTTGGAATAAAGGAGGAAATTCTAAGGCTGTAACAGAGCTACCTAAAGGTAGGGCTGGGGACTGACAGGGACTATATCTTATAGCCATGACTGTAGAAAAAGATTTTTACCTTTAGAGAAGGGAGAAAACTTATTTCAGCAATTGACAGATAGACAGTAATGTATTCAGGAAAGCCCAATAAATGGGCTAAGGCTGTAGTTTCACATCTGCCTTAATGCTCTTCTTAAGGTTAGGAGGTGAGGCAGAGCAAGGACTGGATCTGGCACTGTGACAGCAGCACCCCACTCAAATTAATTTGTCTTAATGAAGTCATATCATCACAGTCCAAGGTATAAAGATGTCCACTTTTCCTGAGTTTTCTGGAAGGCTGAAACCTTAAGAAGGGTTTAGAGACTACAGATGGATCTCCAGACGCTGAGGCTCTTCTAAATCATAGGTCCCTATTGCTCATTTGCTCCAAAATAAGGGATCAGCACACTTTGAATAAGGCCATAAAATTCTACTTTAATCTTTTGGTAGGGAGCTTTGAAGGGGAGACATTTGCCTTTTGCAGGAAGGAAAAGTGTTGAAATAAAAAGGAGGAGAAATAGAGGGAGAACATCAAAGTCATTCACATTTAAATAAAGCCTATTTTGCAGATGCTAGGGTTAAGGTGCACAACAATCAATACAGCTGACATGTCTTCCTCTAATTGTCATTCTTGTTGTTCTTTTATATCAAGCCCACATGCTATGAGAAGTGGTGAAGAGACAATTTCATATCTACTAATTATTATCATGATGTTATTAATTTAGACTAAGGATAATAATAAGATAGGGCATGTGTAGAAAGAATTCATTATGAAATTAATTGCTCTGATTAGGGTCAACACACAAGATAAGGTTTATAAAGCATTTCAGAAACAATTAGTTTTGATGGCTATTTGGCATCCTAAGACATGTAAATCTAGAGCGTGTATTTTACATTTTTCTCCCCTCCCCATTCATATGCTAAGTCCTCTGATAAACGGTGCTTGTTCAAAAGAAAATTGAAATCAGTGGATTGAAGCAAAGCTGGATAATGAGGTATTATTGATATATTCTGTAAACGCTTCAATTATTCCTGCCTTCAGTTTTGAAATTATTTCAGAGAAACAAAAAATAAATAAAAAAATGGCTTTTTACAAAGTCAATTTTAATCTCTCCGTTGCATTTGTGGTTGTTGTCTTTTCCCCTTAATAGTCACGGAAAGGGCTTGATTACAGTTATCTTTCTGAATATACTGTTGCTCTTTGTAATTCCTTTCTCTTGACTCTCAAGGGCTCTCTCACAGAATGGTGCCCCTCAGTTATGTGAAGCACCTGTTCCCAATTCATCTCTGTAAATGAAACTTAACATGGCTTTGTCTCCTTGCATCCTAAATGCACTTCCTCCTTTTCTTTCCTTCTCTCCCCTGAATTCTTAGAGAAAACAACTGACAGAAGGAGCTAGCAGAGACATCCTTAACGGGGAAGAGTGATTGTGCATTCAGGATGCTCTTCACCACAAAGGTCTGAAGAGAGTCTTACATTGACAGAATCACAGAAGTGCTCTTTACCACAAAGAGAGTCTTACATTGACAGAATCACAGAATCTTCCTGGTTGGAAGGGACCTTTGAGATCACCGAGTCCAACCATACAGTCTACATTCCTTCCTAACGCAGGGAGTTTTGGCACTTGATTTCAACAGGGTCTGCAGCAGTCTACATTCCTTCCTAATGCAGGGAGTTTTGGCACTTGATTTCAACAGGATCACAGTCAGTCAATCTTGACAGCTTTCAAAGATCCTATCCTAAATATAGGCTGTTTACAACCAAGAGACAATTTAGCGAAGGTAACTGGTGCTGGCCCAACAGTGGCCTCACCTTTGTCTGCCACAACATACAAGTTCTCAGAGGATCATCGATGTAGCTGCCCTGATGATGATGAAATATATCCATTTTGCTTTTGTTCACCTCCATTTCTTGCTGTCCAGTCACCCAAACTAACAATGGAAGCAATCAGCTCCTCTGTGCAACAAAAGGGAAGTCCTCAGGAATTATTTTAAAAGAAGCAGCTATCATTACCTTTATCTTTGCAGATGGGGAAACTGAGGCCCTGATGCGTGTAACTGACATACCCAGAAGACTGAAGCACAGATACAAACTGGTTTTCCAGAGCTCTGGCACAGAAAGAACGAAGCCCAGCTGGGACACAGCCTGGTTTTCCAGAGCTCTGGCACAGAAAGAAGATTAGGGAGCTGTGGGTGCATCAGCACAGCAGATCCAGCTTCCTGGGTTCAAGTCCCTGAGAAAGATGGGAGGGTGCAATTAGGAAGGGAACCGGAGCTTCCTGAAGTCAGTGGAAGTCTTTCCAATTATTTCAACAAGTATCTGGCACAAGCCCCCGATGAATCCTCTGGGGCTGCCCGTCGCACGCTCTGCGTGCCTCATTAACATCAAAATTCATCTTGAACGCTTAATTCCTCAACTGGCAGGTTTGTGGGCACCTGTTCTTATCTTTCCATTGCAAGCAGCAGCTAACAAAGACAGGCTGGAGAAAAGTGATGAAGAGAAGGGTGTAAACGGGGAGAGATCAGCCATAGCAAGTCAAAAGAGGAAGCAGCTTACAGAAATAGCAGGACCTCTTCTTCCCTTTCGCCTGTCCCCCAGGAGCTTGGCAGAAAATGGCAGTTAGTAGAGCAAACACCATTTATCAGCTTATTTTCTTTTTGCAAAGATGAGTGGTTTGATACCGTGATCGATCGCTGCTCCTGGCGGGTGTCGATACCTGGATCAAGATGCAGCAAATCCCAGGAGGAGAGCCAAAAAAGGCGACGAGCGACTACGAGCTGGAAGCTCACCAAGCCCATGAGCTCGTGCAAGTCGACATCAGCAGAGCAGAAGCTTAGAAGCTGCCTCATTTCAGCCTCTGAGACACCACCGCTGGGTATACAGCTCCAGCAGAAAGGTCTACAAAAAAAGAGGCACTTTCTCTAGAGGAGAAAATAGCACTGATGGGAATTTTGGAGAGTTGAGGTGACGCGGTACGCTACACCAGGTGATGTGCCACTCAAACAACGCCCTGTATCAGTGTTGTTTCATAAGTCTAGTATAATAGCCAGAAAATAATAAAAAAAAAACCCCACAGATTACACAGCAGCAGGCAGCCCCGCCGCTCGATACCAAGTAATAAAAATCAATTGAATGATCAATAGGCTTTTCTGTTCGCTAGGGCTTTGAAGATTCTGCTGTCATGCTCTCTGCTATAATTAGCACTTGATGAACTTAAAATGTTTAATGACTGTGAAATTGCATTCCTATAGAGACAAGCGCACATCTGGAATAACAGCATGCAATTCAGGGGTCTTATGGAGTCCCACGCCATTAAGCATAGGACTTCAAATAGAGTTTTCAGCGTGAAAATGGAGCAGGCTCTTTGACGTGCTAACATCAGCTCTGGTCCACTTGCTCCTCAAATCACTGGCGCAGCAGACAAACTTCAAAGAGCT